TATATAGAGAGAGAGAGAGAGAGAGAGAGAGAGAGAGAATGGCACGTTTTCCAGGATCGTAAATAGATGAACACAGACGTTCTCATCTGCTGTAACTTGCATTTTCACCCTTCGGCGTTCCGTAAAATCAAGCAATCCGTTAGAGACGATCCACGCTCTCGATGGCTTACAAAATAGCGAAACAATGCCGATAAACGTCGAAACTCCATTACAGCTTTTTGCAGAGGCAAGCAGGCGAGAGTAGATACATACGAGCAGAATTTCTCTGATATATATTATATACGAACTTTTGTGCGCGATTGTGCATTCTCGTCGTGTTTCAACTTTTGGAATTAGTCCGGTTGAGGAATCCTTAAAATTATCAAACAATTTTATAATGATTAAGTGTCGTTTAGGTCATAAAGAAATTTATAATAAATAATTACATAATTAAATCAAATCTGTATGTGATTTCCGTTTTATTAGATTATATTCATGAGATCCGATTTATCGACATTTCTTATCCTGTATAATCCGTGCGATTTAACCGCGACACTATCATTGAATAAAATGGTAGCTGCTTCGATCAAAGTTTCAACAAAAGCACCAATAGGAAGGAAAAGTTCTCCGAGTTTTGTCGATTTTCGGAAATTGATTCGCGATTCGAAATGTGACGTGCCATAGTCAGAATTAGCGACGACATGGAGAGCGAGATTTACGTCCGCAGAGTTCCGGCAATAAGAAGTTATTCCGTATATCTTGCGAGATTTATCGTGACGACTCTTTCTCACGGGATATGAAGTTTCGGCGGAAGTTTCATCCGTACTTGAATTCGAAAATTATGCCTGTATATCATAAAGGTAATCATGTTTTGCTCATCTTATTTCACCAGATCAATTTTATTTGAATATGCACGAGTAAAATATAAATCAGCAATTACGATTAATAAATACACTCAAATTAAATAATCAATTTTTGTTCAACAAAAATATCAAGCTTTCCTAATCTGATATTTTGCACCAAGACAAATTTATTATTATTGAATAAATGCAGACGTTTCTTGTTATTGAGATATTCAAGATATTGACATTTGAATCCGATTTGAATCCAATCTAAATATTACCGTATCCGGTGCAGAATATTTTTGTCAGACTAAGGACACAAGATTCAGATAGTCACAGAAATACAAGCAGTAAAAACATTATTTATATAGAAGCGTTAATTTAATACTGATACTATAATTAATTTAATAACGATTGTAATATAAAAATATGAGCTACATCGATATAGGCTACATTATTTAAGTCAATTAATATGATAATTCCTTTTACCTCTCGCGATTAATATTGAGATGTCGTTGAAGTATAGAAGTACAGAAGTAGGACGACTGGAATTCTTCATAGAAACACGTTTGCCTGGTTGAATTTATATTTTATCGCCGGCACGCGAATCTGCCGCAAAAATTCTCTAACAACTAAATTACTCCGTCGGGAGAAATATTTCTGCGAGCTGGAGCCCTTCGTGCGCAGCGTTGTGAAATTTTCCGGGGACTCAAAAACGAAAATAGCGTTCATGCAGGAATCCGAACATGGTGATGCCAAACATACTGTAAAAGCGTAAAAAAAGGGGGGAAAACGAACTGAGCGAGGCGTTACATTAATTCGCATTTTTGGTGACGAACCCCGCGGTTTTACTCGTTCCAAGTGACATACGTGCTCTTTTTACTCTCATTTTTTGCGTACCCTTTGTAAAATATTTCGCTGAAAAAAAATTGGACAGATTCGCCGCTTTGACAGGCTCCGATTACCTTAAAAATATAATAAACGACAAGCGCTTTGCGCTTGCATGATGAATTGATCAACTTGTGGGACCGGTCAAAAAATTGGCTTTTACTGTAAAAAAATAGTTTTTCTGAAAAGTCTTTCGCATGATATTCGATCTATAGGATGACAGCGATGCGTAATAAATAATATTTCGAGCTGGCAATTAACAATGTATTAAAGTGATAAGAGATTTAAGTGGTAATCCATCCATCTCCCTTTTTCATATCTCGAGATAAGAAAGTGAGTGCATTACTGTCGATCACCTCCGGTTTTTTGCTATTTGACTGTTCCCTAATCATACTGATGGATAGAGTCTCTTAGAAAGCTGATAGGGATTAAACTGACTAAAAACTTGCGCCACTCGCGTCGCTCTAATTCACATTTAAAATCACTGTGATTTACGTGATAATTTATACTCTCGCGGAAATCGAGATAAAAGCATTTTATGCGAATATTAAACCTGGTGCACGATACCGCATACTCTTTGATATGAATTTCATTCAATTGTACGATGATATTTGTCGATAACGATTAATAAGCTGAAAGAATAATGTGACCAACATTCTCATGAAAGGATATTTTACGAATAATGATCAAATTACGTATACACTTTTCCATTTACTTTCTATTTTAACATTTTAACAATGCAATTGAAATATATATCAGCGATACGATCGAATACGTTCTATTACTTAAACGCTTCTCCCCGGAAGACAAAAAGAGAGAATTGTAAAACTACTATCATTGATTCATCTTTAAATCTTTCATTAGATATAATTTTATTCGCCTAGTTTCGAGTTAGTAGTTTAAGAGTTAATCACATTTCTCAGTCACTTTGATATGAAGAATCGAGAAAAGGGATACATTATTAATATACATTATTAATGTAGGGCTGACATTTTATCTGAATGCTGCACTCCTGGCTACACGGACAATTAGAAAGTACGCAAGCGAGAAACCAAACTGCTTATTTCGTCTACCCGTGCCGTAACCAGAGATTGCCAGAGACATGCGGAAACTGTCATTGTAATTCGTCTGGCAATTCGTAACTAATTCCGCAAAATCGCCATAAGCACAAAGAGCTACGGCAATGTTCCGACGAGAGAGTTCTCTCTTGCCTAACGAAATCTCGTTTACTACGGCAGAAACGATCACTGCACGTTACAGCGCGTTAAATAAACGCGTTGAATCTGTGTAGTTGAAGTGAGCCAATAATTAGACCGCTCTCAGACAGATGCGGTAATTATTTGCAATGTTTATGTTATATTATTCTCTCGTTGCAGTTAGACATTGCGAATTTTCCCCAATTATCGTACTCAAAATAAAAAAACTCAAATTCATCAAATTCATCAAGAAATTACAATAATATTTTTCGTAAAACCCAGTAATCGAGTAATTAAAATGATTATCTTTTTTTGTTCATTACAAGAATTAGAATTTACTCATATATAAATTGCGAAAATCCAGCGAAATTGGACATCGATAAACTCACAAATTTCCTGTCAGAAGAAGGAGAGACAGAGAGAAAGAAAGGGGGGGGGAGGGTATTGATATATCTATTTGCACGAAAGCGAACCTGATAGATTTATCCTATCAA